TTCCACCCCATCTCGGCCTACCCAGACCCCTTCCATCTTCAAGAACCATCTCCATGCCCACCTCTCACCCCCTCGACCTGATAGGCTCCCTCCCTTTAGCCCCATTGCATTGTTTGCCCCCCCTTTTTAAGATTATTTATTTGAGAGAGACTGGGGGACCAGAGAGAGAGAGCACACAAGCAGGGGGATGGGCAGAGGGAGAAGCAGACTCCCTGCTGAACAGGGATCTCGAGGCAGGGCTTGATCCCAGGACCCTGGGATCATGACCTGAGCCAAGGACGCTTAACCAACTGAGCCACCCCGGTGTCCCTGCATTGTTTTTCTTGATTTCTGACATCTAGTGTCCTTTTAAAACCTGTATTTGTCTTATCCTTCCCTTATGCCCAGAGAGCAATCTGCATAAAGACTGCATGTTGTCCACATACCAGATTATTGCAGAAGTATCTGCTGAACATTTTTTTAATCAACTTTTTGTTTTAAGACAATTTTAAATGTAAAAAAAAGTTGCAAAGATAATATAGAGAATTCCTGTATACCTTACACCTAATTTCCCCTATTATCAACATCTTACATTAGTATGGTACATTTGCTACAATTAATGAGTCAATATTGATACATTACTATTAACTACAATCCACATCTTATTAAGATTTCCCTAATTTCTTCCTAATGTCTTTTTTTCTATTTCAGGATCCTTTCTAGGATACTATATTACATTTAGTGGTCATGTGGCAGTTTCTCAGAATTTCCCTTTTTTTTTTTAATTATAAAACTTATTCTTTTAAAGTGTACAATTCAGTGATAGTATAGTCACAATGTGTAACCATTAGCACTATCTAATGCACATTTTATCACCCCCCCAAAAGCAAATTCTGTACCTGTTAGCACTCACACCCCATTCCTTCTTCCTCTCCGCCTCTGGCAGCCATTAATCTACCTTGTCTTTATGGATTTCCCTACTTGGCCATCTCATACAATTGAAATCACAGAATATGTGGCCTTTTGTGCCTGGCTTCTTTCATTTAGCATAATGTTTTCAAGTTTGTTCACACTGTAGCATGAATTAGTACTTCATTCTTTTTTTATGGCTGGATAATATTCCATTGTGTGGCTATACCACATTTTGTTTATCCATTCATTAACTGTTGGATATTTGGGTTGTTCCATTTTTTTTTATCTATTATGAATAGTGTTTCTATGAATATTTCTGTACAACTGTTTGTGTAAACATATGCTTTCAGTTCTCTTAGGTATATGTATAAAAGTGGAATTGCTAGGTTATAGGGTAAATCTATACTTAACTTTTTGAGGAATTGACAAATTTTTTTTCCAAAATGGTTGCACCATTTACATTCCTACCAGCAATTTTGTGAACGTTCTGATTATTCTGCATCCTCATCAACACTTGTTCTTGTCTGTCTTTTGTTCATAACCATCCTAGTGGGTATGAAGTGGTATTTCATTGTGGTTTTGGTTTGCGTTTCTGTAATAACTAATGATATTGAGCATCTTTTCATGTGCTTATGGCCAATTTTATATCTTCCTTGGAATAATATCTATTCATATTCTTTGCCCATTTAAAAATTTGATCATGCTTGATTTGAACATGCTTGATAGAATGAACACCAGGCTGGAAGAAGCAGAGAAATGAATTAATGGCTAGAAGACAGAGTAATGGAAAGTAACCAAGTTGAAAAAAGAGAAAAAAGAATTATGCAAAACAAGAACAGACTTGGGGAGCCCAGAGACTCCATCAAATGTAGCAACATTCATATTTTAGGAGTCCCAGAAGAAGAGAAAAAAAAGAGGACAGATAATTTATTTGAAGAAATAATAGTTGCAAACTTCCCAAATCTGGGGAAGGAAACAGATATCTGGATCCAGGAATCACTGAGAACTCTGAAGAAAATCAACAAAAGCAGATCCACACAAGACATATTGTAATCAAAATGGCAAGATATACTGATAAAGAAAAAATGTTAATAGCAGCAAGACAAAAGAAGACAGTTATATACAAAGGAAACCCCATAAGGTTATGAGCAAATTTTTCAGCAAAAACTTTCCAAACCAGAAATGAGGTATGATATATTCAAAGTGCTGAATGCAAAAAACCAGCAGCCAAGAATATTCTATTCAGCAAGGCTATCATTCAGAATGGGAGGAGAGATAAACAGTTTCACAGACAAACAAAAACTAAAGGAGTTCAACCACTAAACTAGCCCTGCAAAAAATATTAAAGGGGACTGTGAGAGGAAAGGAAAGATAAAAAATGACAGTCCGAAAGTAGGAAACACAAAAGCAGTAAAAATGAATATATTTTTTTAAGATTTTATTTATTTATTTGACAGAGAGAGAGAGAGAGATCATGAGTAGGCAGAGAGGCAGGCAGAGAGAGGGGGGAAGCAGGCTTCCTCCTGAGCAAAGAGCCTGATGTGGGGCTTGATCCCAGGACCCTGAGATCATGAGCCAAGCTGAAGTCAGAGGCTTTAACCCACTGAGCACCCAGGTGCCCCTCTTCTAATCTTCTTAGTGGGTCATGATTCCTTATCTCAGCAACTTGAAAAGGCTTTTCTTCCAGCCTCAAGACTTCCATACTATGATGCTCACCTCTTGGTATTCATAACACTATATATAAGATCTCCTCCCATTGAGAGTAGGCTGAACCTTGTGACTTGCTTCTAAAGAACAGAACACAGCAAACTGATGGAATGGCAGTTCCAATATTAGGTAAATGACTTAAATGACTAACTTCTGTCTTGCACACTTTCTCTTCCTTCCTTAGTTGTTCACTCTGACAAATCCTACTGATACACTGTAAGCTACTGAGGCACAGGCTCATATAGCAGAGAACTGAAGGAGGCTTTGGGCCAATAGCTTATGAGGGGCTGGGCCTTACTCCAACAGTCTATGAGGAGCTTAATCCTGCCAACAACCACTGGAGTCATACTGAAAGCAGATGAAACCCCACTTGAGCCTTCAGATGACTTCACCCCGCATTGACACATTGGCTGAAATCTTTTTGAGAGACCAGGAGTTAGAACAGATTCTATCTAAGCTGCACACAGATGCCTGATGCACAGAAACTATAAGACAATAAATGTTACTCTTTTAAGTCACTGTTTTGGGGTAATTTGTTTCACAGCAATAGATTAACTAATACAGTTAGGAGTATTCCCCTCTTCACTTCCTACCACTATACTCCCATGTGTCTTCAAGTCTCAGATTTATTTACTAATTTATTATTTTTTAAGCATGGAGCAATGCGCAGCTTGAACTCACAACCCTGGTATCAGGACCTGAGCTGAGACTGAGTCAGATACTTAATCAACTGAGCCACCCTGGTGCCCCCTATTATTTTTTAAAATTTTTAAAAAAGATTTTTTTTTTTTTAAGTAATTGCTACAACCAGCATGGGGCTTGAACTCACAACCCTGAGATTAAGAGTCGAAGGCTCCACCAACTGAGCCAGCCAGGCGCCCCTCAAGTCTCAAATTTAAATGTCACTTCCTGCAGGGTAAGCTCTCTTCCCCCTGCCCATCCTGCACCAGCAAATCTCTGGTTGCACACTCTTGGTATTCTCTCCTCTTATGCAGACTTCATCACCCCTGCAATTAGTTCATTGTCACGGTATTTGTTTCCTGTCTGTCACTCTCTAAGACTTGTCAGTTCCCAGTCAGAGCTGGCTATAGTTTTTCTACACTGAATTCCTAACACCAAACATGGTGCCCACCGTAGCGTGGGGATATATTAAACTATAAAATGAAAAAAATGAATAAACAAATGAAGGAATTAGTAAATGAAGTATCCCAAGACCTCGCCATTCAGAAAGGAAGTAGGAAAAAGCCCAGTGTCCTAGTAAAGATGGTTACAAAAGTCTCATAATTCTCGGGCTTTATTTTTAAATATCAAAAAATGAAAACAAAAACAAAAAATAAAACCATGTCAACATATTCTAGATTTAAATTTGTTATGACAGAGTGCATTATAACCAAATTCTCTACATAAATTAAAAGATGAGAACTTTGAAATTTTATTTTTTTAAGATTTACTTATTTGAGAGAGAGACAGAGACAGAGCACAAGCAGGGGGAGCAGCAGGCAGAGGGAGAAGCAGACTCCCTGTGGAACAGGAAGCCCGATATGGGACTGAACCCCAGCACCTTGGGATCACGAACTGAGCTGCAGACAGCCATTTAACTGACAGAGCCACCAAGGCACCCCTCTTTAGTGACTCTTAGTCATCACCGCCTGCCAAATAACATCCAGCTCAGTCCCTAGTGGGACAGTCAGCTGTCTTTTCTAGCCTGCTCCTTAAACGCTCCCTCTGCGGGTACCACGATCTTGCCTTTCCTCAAGCACATTTTTTCATCTCTGGGCCTTTGCACGTGTTCTCCTCTGACTGGAATTCTCCCTTTAGTGCCAACCAATCCCCCCAAAGTCAAATTCAAGTTTGAACGCTCCCGGTCCCCCTAGAAGTGCTTGCTCTTCTGCTCTGTCCTCTTAGGGCACTTGGTTTTTACCTCTTTTATGGCCTCTAACATATTCAATATTGTCTTGTGAGCAGGTGCGTGTTTTGTTTATCTTCTCTACTACCCACATAGAAAGATATGGTCTCTGTCTTGGTGACCCCTTTTCCCTACATAACCCAGCACATGGCTTTCGATGGAGCAGAGGCTTAATACATGTTTGTCGTTAAATGAGTAAATGAAAGAATAAATAAAACATATATGCTAAGGGGCACCTGGGTGGCTCAGTGGGTTAAAGCCTCTGCCTTCAGCTCAGGTCACGATCCCAGGGTCCTGGGATTAAGCTCCGCATCAGGCTCTCTGCTCAGCGGGAAGCCTGCTTCTCCCTCTCCCATTCCCCCTACTTGTGCTCCCTCTCTCACTACGTCTCTCTCTGTCAAATTAAAAAAAAAAAATCTTTAAATGAATCAGATATACTTTATATCTCAATGTCAATAATAATAAAGCCACAGAAAAAGATTTCATTTTAAAAATATTTTAATTTCCTTTTTTATAAAATTTAGTTTTCGAATGTCCCAAACATCATCTCTCATATAGTAAAAATGAACGTAGGAACAAATAAACACAGAATGTTTCTTTACTAGTCCACTAGAATACTGGCTAAATGTCCTAATATGTTACTCTAAACAGTCACACAGAAGCCAAGGAAGTAAATAAATAACACAGCAAACTAGTAAATATAGGAAAATGAGCTTTTCAAGAGGTTTCTGAGATTGTCTACTACTGAAATTTTAACAAAATAATTTGAATTAAAATTGTTTGATAACAATAAATATTAGTCCTGTATAAAGTGATTAAGTCAAAGTAGTTTACTTCAAATACGGGGACTGAATTACAGAAATGGAAGGTACCCGATCATTTAGGGAATGCTGTTTGAGACGACTGTGTTCTCAGAACTATGTTCAGTGTATCCTGGATCTTCATGTTATTTCTTTCTATCAGGGAAGAATGTTTCCCATCCGCTTTCGTGTTTTCTTCTGGTTCAAGGGGGAGAAGGGTATGGGGGTTGAACAGACATCGAGGCTCCCCCAAGATGCCAACTCTGTGAAAAGAATTATTGGTATAACTGAAGCGGTGAGGCCAATAAGGTGTATGGTTATGGTTGTGCCTGCGTGTGTGTGTTTGTGTGTATACACCAAAGCTACACACACACACACACATACCCATATATATGCATATACATATACACATACATATACATATACATATACACATATATATTTTTTTTAAGTTTTCCCTATTTCCATGAACCCCCATTGTGGTTTAAGTATGAGTCCAAAATTTCAGCCCACAGTAAGATTTTGTAACTGGCCTTCCCACATTTCCCAGAGATGGTTCTTCTAATGAAGAAACCTCAGCCTTGTAAAGTCGGCTACCCCTTCCTCCGAATTAGAGCTATTTGAAGTCTAGCATAACTTTCTAGCAATGTTTTCTAGTCTGGCTGGGTGTACCAAGAGCTGCTTGGGAAAGGAAATAGGTGGAGAGGTGGAGGGATGGGTAAGAAGCCGGCTTTCATCTTTGTTCAACTTTCTGGACAGGCGTGGTGTCTGCCTTCTGGTCCGACCTAGGACATGCTGAGGCTCTCCTTTCCCTCTCCTTGAGCCACTTACGTTGGCATGGGCACAGACTCCAGATTTTCCGTGTGCTCTTGTATCTGGGCTGGGAGTTTGATGCCTCCTTGATGATTCTTTTTCTCAAAGACATTCTGAGCTTTTTCTCTGAGAGATGGCAGCAGAGTAGACAGGACTGGAGAGCGCATGTTAATGGCTTTTTTAATCGCTGGACGTTTTGCCATCATTCTCCTGGGGGTAGGGGGTGGGAGAGGAGACATTTAGGTTATGTCATCCTGTTTCTAGAAATGTCCCTGAGCTTTGGGAAGTCACAAGGTCGTACCTGAATTGTACAAAAGTCATGCGTTTCTTTTCCCCTCCTGATTCTTCATCCTCACGCTTCCTCCGAGGAATGTTGAACATATTGGTACGAAAGAGCCTCCCTATTTCTTCCTCAATCTCTGTGAAGTGTTGACGTCGGAAGACAATCCAAGCTACGTATGTACAGAAAGTATAAAAGGACTACAACAGAAAACAGACAAGAATCACAACCCACGGCGATGATAGTAAAACTCCCACCTGTCTATGTAACACTGCTAAGCAGACGCAAACCCAGATGACCCCATTTCTCTGCATTCCTGAAAAGCTGTGGAAAATACACAGGTACTCGCCTTTGCAGGAGGAAAACGAGACCAAAAATTTAAGATATAGCATACAGCTTGTTAGCAACCTTTTAAGAAAAGATATTCACTAAAAATAAGTGCCTGACAAATGGCTATTGGTTATTCATGGTTCATAGAAAGAGAAAAGTCCCAAAACATAAGTTACTCACCTCAAAGAATTTCCAGTCTTTTTGTGTATCTGATATTTTCTCCCTGCAATACAACAAATCACAACTATAGGTTGAGAAGGAAGCTCAGTCTTTCAGTGATCTAGGCAAGCCCCTATCTTCAAAGGCCTCTTGGCAAGACCATTACCGTGGCCCCAAGGCTATTTAGCTACATAAATGCTGTCCAAAGGCATTGTGAGTCCCAACATCTTTTTCTTCAATTTCTTAGGTTATCCAGATCAAAACCCTTACCATGTTTGGTCAAAAGTTAATCAATATAAATTCAGGGGGTGCCTGGGTGGCTCAGTGGGTTAAAGCCTCTGCCTTCGGCTCAGGTCATGATCCCAGGGTCCTAGGATTGAGCCCCACATCGGGCTCTCTGCTCTGCGGGGAGCCTGCTTCCCCCTCAATCTCTCTGCCTGCCTCTCTGCCTACTTGTGATCTCTGTCTGTCAAATAAATAAATAAAATCTTTAGAAAAAACATATATATATATATACATGTACATATATATATATATATATATATATATATAAATTCAGGATACACAAGCCAGCAGGAAATGTATTCTTATGAATGTTTTTGGTGATGTGAGAGCTGGGGAGAAAGGAGAGTGGGAAGGTGGTAAAGAGGTAACATGGGGTGTTAATCAGTAGGGAAACAGAGAACTAATGGGAAGTCTAAAGCAGAGAAAAAGACAAAGATCAAACATCTTAATCCTAAAAAGATTTAAAAGATCTTAAAATCTGCAGTTGACTGGAGAAAGTACTAGATGCAATATATACGCTGAGCCACGGCTCTTAAAGGCAGGCATCTGCTCAGGAATCCTTGCAACACAAATTCAGTGTTAAGGACACTGGACCGGCACAGGCACACTTACTGAACTTGGCCTCCCCTCCCCAACAGAGGCCATTCTAGTTCTGATCCCGGCCTGAGGAGAGCAGGCATGGCCTGCAGAGGACCTGAGAACTGATGGAAAAGGCTGTGCACCTGCAATCACTTGATCACTCAAGGGGCCAAGGCTAGACCCAGGCACTGCCAGGCTGATCCTGGACGTACTTGCTTCTGGTTTTGCTTAGGACAACTCCCAGGACTGGCCCTTGCTATCAGGCTTTCAAGAACCTCCTGAACTCCAGTGGTCTGGGGAAGATGACCTAAACCCTCAGGGACTTCATGATCTGTGTGGGCCCAAATTAGCCCTCTGTTCGGGGGACACATGGAAGCACTGGTTCAGTTTTTACTGGGGTGGATCCCTCTCCTCCTGCAGCCTCTGCATTCCTACACCGGTTTCCTCGTGCGCAAGTCTTCAACCAGGAAGTAAGGCCATCAGTACAGTGCGCATTTACTAAGTATGGACCATGTGCCAATACTGTGCTAAGCCCTTTACATGATCATATTTAGTCCTCCTAAGATTTCTATGACGTAGTCAGCATTATTATTCCCACTTTACAGCTGAAGAGACTGAAGCCCAAAGACATATGTAATTAGGGCCTGTCAGCTCTCCACATCTGTCACTGTAACCAGAACTCTAGGGAAACAAGCTTTTCCTCTAGATGAGTCTGTGGATTGAACACATTCAACTACGGAGCCAGCAGAAGCTTTCAGGACAGGCCTCTGCGTCCTTCTGTCCTTCTGCGCCACCTGCAGCCTCCACCCGACAGGAGTGCTTATGTGCCCTTTCTACCCTTCCACGGCCTCTGCCAGTGGACACCGGACACCATGCAGACCTGCCAAGCTGAAGCAAATACCAACCAAACTCGATTTTGGAAAGACTAAGCCAGCCTGCCTTCTGGGAGAAGACGGAGAGTAGCACTTAGGTTTGTGCAACTCAAACTGGCACTGTGTCAGCGAGGTTTTGAAATGACAGAGGGTGCAGGAAACACGCACTTTCTCCTCTTTTTCTTTCTCCTTTTTTTTTTCTTTTAAGATTTTATTTATTTATTTGAGAGAGAGAGAGAGAGAATGAGTGGTGGGGAGGGATAGAGGGAGAGGGAGAAGCAGGATCTCTGCAGAGCAGGGAGCCTGATATGGGGCTGGATTCCAGGATCCTGGGATCATGACCTGAGCTGAAATCAAGAGTCGGATACTAAATTGACTGAGCCACACAGGTGCCCCCCTCTTTTTTCTTTTTTTTTTTTAAGTTTTATTTACATAATCTCTATACCTAACGTAGGGCTTCAACTCATGACCCCGAGATCAAGAGTCACACGCTCTTCCAACTGAGCCAGCCAGGCGTCTCTCTTCTCATTTTTAAACGTTAGAAGAGAAGGTACTATGAACTTCTTCCCCTTCCCCTCAAGTTGCCATAAAACTGGGACTTCTTTCTCCCTTAAAGCCCAAAGCAAACTGATGGAGCCTACCGACAGAAATCAAGTACAGAAAACAGGTTTCTTCTTCCCATTCTGATTTAGCTCCACATATAAACCTGAAATGAGCCCAAGAAATGGAGGCAGAGAAAGCACATTTGGGAACATCCTAGCTTAAATCAGCAAATTCATCTCTGGGTGACTTTTGGGTCAATTTTTCTTCTTTTTAATTTTACTTTATAATTTTTATATTAAGTACCTAATAATTATAAACTGACTATAAATTTAAAAATTTACTGAGCAAAATAACAAATTTAAACACTTCAAATCTTCCGCAAATTGAGTGAGACTTTATACAATAGCAAAATCCAATAGAAATATAATGCAAGCAGGGGCACCTGGGTGGCTCAGTTGTTAAGCATCTGCCTTTGGCTCAGGTCATGATCCCAGGGTCCTGGGATCAAGGCCCACATTGGGGAATCCCTGCTTAGCAGGAGGCCTGCTACTGCCCCTGCCCCCGCTTGTGTTCCCTCTCTCGCTGTGTCTCTGTCAAATAAATGTTTTTTTTTTTTAAAGAGATATAATGCAAGCCACAAATGTAATTTTAAAATTTCTAGTGGCCACGGTAAAAAGAACAGGTGAAATTAATTTTAATAATATACTTATTGTATGCAAACCCTGAAATATTAATATGTAATCAGCATTTTAGAATGATCAATGAGATATTTTGTTCAATTGTAACTTGTTTGTAAAGTGTATATTTTACATTTATAGCACATTTAAATATGGACCAGCTACATTCCAAGTGCTCAACAGACACATGCGGCAAGTGGCTACCATGCTAATGCTAGTCAGCAAAAATGCTGTCCATTTTACCTGTGAGGACAAACTCTGAAGAAAAGGGGAGAAAGCCAGCCTGGCGGAAAACGCAGAGGTGTTCAGTGGCCTGTTATGATGCTTTCTTATTCCTTCTTGCTACCTTAGACTCTCAGCTCTAAACTACAATGAGGAAAGTAACATATTTTTAGTCATTCCTGGGGAGGTGCGGGGAAGCTAGGCCAATGGCATCTCGAGGCCCTAAAGAAAAAAAAGTTTGTTCCCACTTAACCCCTGCTGCTTTGGGTGGGAAATCCAGTTTATTTATTATTATTTTTTTTTATTCATTTGACAGACAGAGATTACAAGTAGACAGAGAGGCAGACAGAGAGAGAGAGGGAGGGGGAAGCAGGCTCTCTGCTCAGCAGAGCCCGATGCGGGGCTTGATCCCAGAACGCGGAGGTCATGACCTGAGCGGAAGGCAGAGGCTTTAACCCACTGAGCCACCCAGGTGCCCCGGGAAATCCAGTTTAAATGAAGGTCAAGGCCTACTCCGCACAAAGGAACAGAATATCAAAGGAATTTGTTTGGGGGAGGGGAAAGAGGCCTTATTGAACTGTGACTTGGAAGGTGGGGTGGGGAGTGGGGCTTAAGGATGATTTATAAACCCGAGCTTCAAAGTATGCTCATCTCTATGCCAGACTCTCTGGTCATCCACCAGGCGACAGCTTGCACTGAGAGCAAAGGAAGAGGTAGAAATCCTAAGACAGAGGTGGGGTTGGAGCCCGAATTGGCCATAAACAAAGAATAGATCTAATTCTACAGTGTATGCCATGAAGAGGTTTTCTTATCTATCCTGGCAAACACAGAGATCTTTTACTGAACACATTCATCAAAATTGTGCCAAAGCTTTTGCATTATCAGGATTTTACAGATGTATTTAGAATAGAAAAGCATGTCCTCCTACTTTTTGAGAAACATGAAAGCACTAAATTAACAGCCCCCAAATTGCTGGTTCTTCTGAAATATCTAATTTAACTCCGGAGACAAATAGCGTAAGGTGTCCTTGTCCAATATTAAGTATGTATATATCAAAAAGTCAGAAAATACACGAGAATGTTCTCAGGGGACTATTAGCTTATTCATACTGGAAGTGAAAGAACAATGTATTAAAATCAGGTAATCACTCCTAACTAGCAAAATAAACTGTCCTCACCTTCTAGATAAAAACAGCCAGAAGAACAATATAAACTCCATTCTAGGACATAATCAAGGCCCGTGGCCAATTAACAACTTTTATTGGCAAAAAACATGCTGTAATCTGTTTTCCTTGCTATCCTTTGTTGGGCTCAATGACCTGTATGGAATTTGTTCTGTGAGTAATGGGTGGTGAACTCTAAACTGATGCTTTTCTAAACTGCGATCCAATAGGCAGGAGAAAAGCAGGTGATGTTGCACACAACCACAAAAAAGACCAGCACCTCCTGGAGAGGAGCCAGTACTAAACCCTGGCAATTCATATCTTTCAAGCATAATGAGTTCTTTAAAAGTCTGTATAAAAATTACATTGTAACAAAAATGTACTGTTAAGAGTATAATAATTTAAGTGTAGGCTCTATATCCAGAGAACTAAAAGATACAATAAAATCTCTAATTATGATATAATTGTTCAGTTTGGGTTTTTTAGTCTCAAAATTAGTCTGTGCTGCACATGTGCTTTTATTTTTAATGTTTTTAAAGATTTATTTATTTGTTTGTTTGAAAGAAAGAGTGTGCACACATGAGTGGGAGGAAGGCACAGAGAGAGGGGGGAGAATTTTAAGCAGACTCCCCGCTGAGCCCAAGGCACTAAATCCCACAGACCCTAGATCATGACCCGAGCCAAAATCAAGAGTCTGACGACACTTGACCAGCAGAGCCACCCAGGTGTCCCTGCACACATGCGTTTAAAGATTAAACATTAAAGGGCACCTGGCTGGCTCAGTCGGTAGAGCACGCAACTCCTGGTCTCAGGGTTGTGAGTTTGAGCCCCACACTGGGTGTAAAGATTACTTAAAAATAAAAATCTTTAAAAATTAAACATTAAATATTGCCAATACAATTATTTTTTTATGTTTTTTTGTATTATTTTATTATGTTTTTTTAGAGTAGGTTTTTTTCATTTATAAATAAAGGTTTTACTTATTTATTTGAGAGAGAGTGTGTAAGAAAGCAAGAGAACAGGAGCAGTGGGGAGGGGTGGAGGGAGAGGGAGAAGGCGGCTCTCTCCTGAGCAGGGAGCCCAACACGGGACTCAGTCCCAGGACTCTGGGATCATGATCTGAGCTGTAGGCAGCTGCTTAACCAAGAGGGCCACCCAGGACCCCTACAGTGTGTTTTTTAACGTTGCTGTGGACTGAATGTTTGTGTCTCCCTAGCCCCACCCCAAGTTCATATGTTGAAGCCTTAAAAACCACTATCATGGTAACATTTGGAGGTAGGGCCTTTGGGGGGGCAATTAGGTTCAGATGAAGTCATGAAAGTGGAGCCCTGTGATGGGATTAGTATCCTTTTAAGAACAGAAAAAGAGATTGGGATTTTCTCTTTCATTCATGGAGAGACTCAGTGAGAAGGTAGCTGTCTACAAGCCCGGAAAAGGGCTCTCACCAGAACTGGACAATGCTGGCCTCCTGATCTCAGACTTCCGGGCTTCAAGACTATGAGAAAATAAAATTCTGCTGTTTAAGCCGTTCAAGCCATTCAGTCTGTGGTAATTTGTTACAGCAGCCCAAGCTGACTAATTCAAACCTCAAATTCTAGTTTTTTCAATCTAAAGTGATACTTAGAAGACAGAAGAAATTAGAGTAATGTGAGAAATTTTTTTTTAATAGGGGAAGGGCAAGGGCAGAGGGAGAAAGAGAATCCCAAGCAGGCTCCATACCCAGCATGGAGCCCAACCTGGGGCTGGATCTCACTACCCTGAGATCATGACCTGAGCCAAAATCAAGGTTAGGGCACTTAACTGACCAAGCCACCTAGGCACCCCTGAGAAAATGTAATTTTAAAGTGATTGAATAGGAAACTGTGAAGCTGATGATGAACCTGCATGTTATTGAACAGCATCAGAAACAAGGCAGAAATAGTCAAATTAACAAAGATTTTTAATATTTTCATAAAGTGTAAAAACATAAACATCAAAGGCAAGCAACAAACTAGAAAAACAAATGGCCAAGCTTTGTTATAGGACACATAAATTACACAAATACCCACTTTCCAGTTGATAGATGGTTAAGTTGATGAGGCAGTAATTAATTTAACAATTAATAATAATAGTAACAGGCAATAAATTATTTTATACAGAAAAACAGCACAGACCCCACAGTCATGAAAGATATTCAAAGTCAAATAAAGTATCTTTAAGCTTTTTCTTTTTCTTTTTTTTTTTAAACTTTAAGCTATCAAAAATGTTAAACTAATAGAGCTAGGTATGCTTATTGCTGATGGTGGTACAAAATGTTCTAGACTCTTTGGAGAACAATCTGGCAGTACGCAACAAGAGCTAGAAAACTACTGATGCCTTCTAGGTAAATACATTCTGGGTTATAAGCCATAAGTAAAGAGCCCAAATAGACAAAGTAATTTATATGAAGATATCTGACGCAGAAACACCATAAAGCAGAAAAACTGAAATCACGTAAGTCTGCACATAAGGAATGGTGAGGCAAACTGGTATGTCACACAGCAGAAGACCTATAGTTGCTATTCAAAGTTGTAGGTGAGGTTCTATAAGCAGAGTAACAGAATGAGGTACACATAAAATGTAGAACATAATCTGTATTTTGAAAATGTGGGAATGCGGAGAGAAACCATGAATTCTGTTCTTTCCTATAAAGTTAAAAGAGTTCTAGCCATGGCCATGGTGTGGCTCTTGAGCCTGTTTTAAAAACCACTCAGAGAAGGGAATTGGGGAGGGGGCATTAAGGATCAGAGCTTTTTCTTGATGCCTCCAAATTCTCCTGTGATATGACTTTTTTTTTTTTAAGATTTTATTTTTAAGTAATCTCTACACCCAATGTGGGGCTTGAACTCACAACTCCAAGATCAAGAGGTGCATGCTGTACTGACTGAGCCAGCCCAGTGCCCCACCAGATACTTAAATTTTAATTGCAGTAATACATAAACTGTCAGTCTAAGGAAAAAAATCATCTCCCCACAAACAAGGTCATCTTCTCTAATCCCCACCCTCCTAGCTTGTACCCATGACTATCTATCGTTGCTGTAAAATGAGCAGCGGGAGGGCAGGAGACACACCCAGTGCCACCTTCAAAACCGGCCTACACCAGGCCTTCTGCCCCTGGCAGCCATGGGGCCCTGGTCAGCAACAGGAAGTCTTCCAGGTTGAGAGCAAGATGCCACTGAGCAAGTATACACTGTAGACTCTGGGACTCTTCCCAAACTCGGTTTTCCCAAACAAGACGGCACCTGTATTTGGGGCTGTCACCCGAGCCCAATTATTTTGTACAATCAAAAAGGAAACTTTCTCAAAGGCACCAAGAGTCAAAGTAAAGGGTCTTCCAGAGAGGACCACACAAGCAAGGAAGGATCTCACAGAACTTGTAAGTGTGTACTTACTTTCCGCAGCACATGTGATGCTTATCAGGCATGGCCAAGCCCAGCACGAGCATGCAGTACTTCTGGGCCAAGTACTTCTGTGCTGCCTCTATTTTACTTCTAACCAGTTCCATCTCTTTTTTCTCCACAAGGCCCCTGAAAAAGAAAATGATCATGTGGGTTCATTTGGGCCAGAAGTATAAATTATTTTGAAAGAAATACACAAGTGAGTCAATGCATCTCACCTCCCCCTTTCATTTACTTGATTTTGAGCTAAGGGAGGGCCTCCAAGCCCTTTGACATTTATCATTATAATCAGTATCTCGAGTTTTTGGTGAATTTTCACTTTTTTATAGATTCTTTATAGTATGTATCCTTAATCTTACATATAGGCCAACCTAATTTATACAGAATAGCTCAACTAACAAATTACCTACACTGGTTTCTGAGGCAACGAGCAGCCCATTTCCCTGCTGTTTTGTTAAAAGAGCGATGGAAGTTCTCTCCCTCCAGCATCCCCTGGGTTCCTGATGTTGCTACTAAGTTTGAAGGCTCAATGTTCAACCTTCTCAATGCTTCCCTTCTCCCAGTTCTGTGTTTGCTGAGGAAGCATGTGTGGAACACTCCTCTGGGAACTTTGGCATCAATTATAATAACCTTACTTCCCTGTGAAAACACTTCCCCAGTTCCAACTGAATTGCAAATGAAAATTTCCAAAAGACAACCTGTTCTTACTTTACAGCATGTCTGAAGCTTAAATAGAGTTGTTGCGGTACAATATAGTAGGAAACTGTATTTCTTTTTTTTTTTTTTTTAAGATTTTATTTATTATTTGACAGAGACAGAGATCATAAGTAGGCAGAGAGGCAGGCAGAGAGAGAAGGGGAAGCAGGCTCCCCGCTGAGCAGAGAGCCGACGTGGGGCTCGATCCCAGGACCCCAGGATCATGACCCAAGCCGAAGGCAGAGGCTTTAACCCACTGAGCCACCCAGGAGCCCCGGAAACTATATTTCTAACAATACACTCCAATGATGGCTATTGAAAAGTGAAGTGTCGGGGCGCCTGGGGGAATCTAATGCATGAAGATACTCAATAATATTCAATTATTACCTATTTGTCTGAAAACCAGCAACTCCTAAAAATATATAAAATGGAGGGGAAAAAGGAGTAGTAATTCAGGCTGTAGTAATACAGCCAAATACTGTTCAAGGACTTGACATTTATTAACATATGAGTCCCTCTAGGATTTATTCCAGCACCAAAGTCCATACCCTTAACCACTATAGGTACTATACTACCTCTTAAAAGTAAGTCAGTCAGTCGATAACACACATTAGCTTGATGGGAAGTTATGCCACCATTAAAAAATTATAATTATGAAGATGTAATAACTTGAAAAATACCGGTTTTTAAAATTGCAGAATTTTGCCTTTGTACAGAAGCTACAAATCGTAATTACAAATGGATAAACTCTGTATAAGAGAGTTCTGCTGACTGGGACGGGTTGGTGGACACACTGCAGAGAGGCTGAGAGGCTGGGGAGTTAGGTAGAGCTGGGCTCCCATCTCAGCTCCATCACTAACTAGGCAAGTCTTCTCCAGCCAGCTCCTTATCCTCTCTGAGCCATAGCTTCTTCATCTGTAAAATGGGGATAAGGATCCTTCTTCTGGAATTGGGGCTTGAATCATCTAAAACCACCAATGTATACCTCGGTACCCCTTCCAACTCTCCTCTCACAGGTTGTAGGCTTTCCTCCCAAGTAGCAACCTCTAAGCTAAAACAATATGAATTATCTCATCTAATCTGGATGATAACTCTGTAAAGTAGATACTACCATTATCCCTGTTCTACCTCACTGGTTTGACTGAAATCAATTTTTTACTTAAAGTTATTTAAGTCCAGATATCTCAATACAGTCTATATTTATTTTATATTTATTTTATTTATATTTATTTATTTTATTATATTTACTCTATAAATAAACTGACTGACTACTGGAAGCCTGAAAGTGAAACGTTAGTCTATTTATTTTAGAATCCCACCATAGAGCCAATCATTTTAAGGCTTGGATTTTTCTGTCATTCTGTAACTGATTCCTTCTAAGAAAGTCTACCTTACACCACTGTGCTCTAATAGTTTTAGTGTATTTCAAAAACAACTAAGAAACATTTTTCTCTGTTGTCTATTCCTATAAATATAGAAATGAAACAAAGGTCTCTGCTAGATTAGCAGTAATCCTCAGAATTAGAAAACACCACATAAAATATAAGTTCATGTGCTGTCAAAGTTTCATCAGGTCTTTTTCATCAGGACTCCTCAAACCTTCTGAGCCTCCAGCTGGCTAAACCCTTTTGCTTGCCACCATTGAAACAGTTCATGAGGGGCTCCTGTGTGGCTTAGTCGTTAAGCATCTGCCTTTGGCACAGGTCATGATTCCACGGTCCTGGGATTGAGCCCTGGGATTAAGCCCCGCATCCAGCTTCCTACTCAAGCCAGAAGCCTGCTTTTCCCTCACCCACTCCCCCCGCTTGTGTTCCATTTCTCGCTGTGCCTCTGCCAAATAAATAAATAAAGTTTAAAAAAACAAAAAAAACCTCCTCATGATCTCTGGCTGCCCTGCTGTGAAGGCAGCCCTGAAATAATGCGGATGTGGTATATTATGATGGCTTCACTGCAGTAGCAGTGTCTGAATTATTTATCTGGTTCTTCACAAAACTGCTGTCCAGATACATTTATCTATCCATAAAATGTTTTTCGAACTGCTTGGTTGTACATACGGATTTTGCGTTTCAAAAACATTCCACAGCAAGGAACTGATGACTCTGACAGCATTTCTAACAGCTAAATCATTGGGTTGGTTCCACATGTACTGGGGAGGGCAGCCTGGGCACTTGGAAAGTTCCATGGATTACAAAAGGTCACCAAGCCTGAGAGGCCTTGTTCTGCTCTGAACTCTGAGTTTCCAGATTCTTGCCCTGTACAGCTCTGAGCCACCTCTGCCTAAAGCACTTAAATTCTTCCTATGTAGCCTAAGAAATCTTGTTTGCTTCTGTGATATGGAATATCATTTGGGTTGTATCTATAATTTTTTTTTAATTTTTAGTTTTTTTCACTAGATGCTTACAAAGGCCTAGCAAGAATCTCATAAGCATAAAAACCAGAGAACCAATATCTATATCTGCAGTGTCCAATATGACAGCCATGAGCCACATGTGGCTATTGTGCACTAACTGTGGTTAGTCTGAACTGAGGTACATTGCAAGTGTAATACAGATATCAGATTTCAAAGACATACTACAAAAAAAAAAGGTAAAGTATGTCATCAGTAACTTTCTAATATTGACTACGTTACAATCACATTTTTGAGTCACTGCATTAAATAAAATACATTATTAAAATTAAATAAAATGTATTTTATTAAAAATAAAATACATTTACTTTTATCTCTTACACTTTTTTTAAATATGGCTACTGAAAAATTTTAAGTTACATACATGGCTCTCATTATATTTCTACTGGGCAGTGCTGGTCTATAGTATCTGGAATATTCTGTTGCTAGAAAAACACTTGAATTATTCAGTTAGTTTTAAGAACGGATGACCTCCTCCCATATAAGATGTTTTTGTATACCCCAAAACTTTAAATATTTCCATCATTTCTTTACCTTGGTTTTAACACTGGCAATAAAACAACTTTAAAGTGCACTACAAAATCCCACTTACACCATATAGCTTTTGGGTTTCTTTTCCAGGGAGATTTTTTCCAAGTAATGAGATAAATAGTACAACAATGCCATGAGGAAATTGTCAAGATTTTTATTCCTATGGGGAGAGTAAAAAAAGAAGAAATGAATGCTAACATATTTATTTTTTTCTTCAAATTTTTATTTAAATTCTAGTTAGTTAACATGTAGTATAAACATATTTCAAACATAAAACTTATCCTAAGAATACATGGGCACACAACAGAAGAATACGCAGAAATACACATTATCACGCCTATCACACAACTAATTCACCATTTAAAATTCTATCCTCTATACTACTGAAGATGTAAGAAATCTGATTTTTATGACCAAACTTTTTAGGGGAGGCGGGTCACACACTAAATTACAATTTTGCTTATCAACTAGTTTTAATTTTTGAGAAGTTTTCATTAATAATATTTTCCATTGTTTAAAAAAATGTACACATGTGTAAAGTAAAAAGTCCTCTCACTCCTTTGCTACCATACTCCTATCCTACTTCCAAGTGACAGCCACTGCTAAGAGTGGAATGAATCCTTCTTGAACTTTTCAAAGCACAGACCATTACATAAGGCCCTCCCCCACCAACACACATACATATGCATGAATATGTGCCTTAAAATTTTCTTTGGTAACGAAGAAGATAATGCTATATATACACAAGTCTTTACAACTTGCTCTTGTCACTTAACTGCTTAGCATGAACCTCCTTCCACAATACCATGTTTCGATTTTCCTCATTCTTTTAAAAGCTGGATAAAGTATTCTAAATCTCATAATTTATTTAACTAGTCCTCAATATGGTGGATATGCAGGTCTTTTAAAAATATTACTGACAGGGGTGCCTGGGTGGCTCAGTGGGTTAAAGCCTCTGCCTTCGGCTCAGGTTATGATCCCAGGGTCCTGGGATTGAGCCCCGCATCGGGCTCTCTGCTCAGCGGGGAGCCTGCTTCCTCCTCTCTCTGCCTGCCTCTCTGCCTACTTGTGATCTCTGTCTGTCAAATAAAATAAATAAAATCTTTAAAAAAAAATATTACTGACATTGCTGCAACAATTATCCTTATGGCCACATCTCTCAGTAACTTCCTAGGAGTGAAATTACTAGGGCATGGTATATATATGGTATATATATGAAATATGCTAGGGCATATTAAAGCTTCACAGTTTTGCTCTAGGAAAAGGTTACACTGATTCATGATCCCATCTCATCTGTTTTAAACCTAGAAGCCTTCTGGGACGCCTGGGTGGCTCAGTGGGTTAAGCCTCTGCCTTCAGGTCAGGTCATGATCTCAGGGTCTTGGGATCGAGCCCCACATCAGGCTCTCTACTCAGCAGGGAGCCTGCTCCCCCCTACCACCTCTGTCTGCTGCTCTTCCTACTTGTGATCTCTCTCTCTCTATCGAATAAATAAACAAAATAAAATTTTAAAAAAACCTAGAAGCCTTTGTCTTCTTTCTAAACATTACAAGATTTTTGCTGCTTCCTTTCTAGCAATTGCAAATTTGTTAGAATTTGCTAGAATTTGGCACTCTTTCTTCAACTATACCTTGACAACCAGACGAAGATGAACACTGCAGATTTTTGTTCCACAACATTAGTAACTACCTGTCCTGGGTTGGGTTCTCCCAGAAACAGACTCTGAGACGAAGATGTGAGAGTTAAGTAGTTTACTTAGGAAGTGCCCACAGGAAACATCGGTATCAGGGTTGGGAAGCCGGACAAGAAAGGGAAGGAAGCCCACACAGCAAGCAGTGTTAACAAGTTCATTATCCCGGTAGACAGATGCAGTTCAGTCCTGTGGGGGGCTCTGGGAGACAGTGCAGAAAATTTCTCAGAGTTATCCTGACAGAAGGAAGCTGGGATATTTTGGTACCAACTCTCCATCTAGCACAACTCTGACTGAAGACTGCTTCTGGGACACTTACTCGCCAGTGCTCCCAGCTTGCCCTGTAGTCAGGCTGAGTGTGCTCCTGCTGCAGAATAAAGCTTCAGGCCCCACAAGCAGCCTTCGCTGAATGCTAAGGGAATGTGGGAGGGCTGCCAATCTTTGGGTACCCAGTTTTCATTGAGCATTGACAAGTATGGCGCCATGAGAAGCACTTTCCACGTACAGCCGGACAAAGACATAATTACTTCTGATTTTGTATCTGAGGAAACAGGCTTAGAAAGGTCAAGAAGCTCACCCAGAATCATGCACCTAGTACCTGCTCGGGCTCCAAACATGTGAGTGAGTTCACTTCAATGAGTGAGTATACCCTCTAACCATTACAGAAATATAACATAGTCTTTATGGGACTTCAACAACGTGCTCTCCATACTCGCCCTGGGGCTTTCTTTTGGGCTCCTGTGACTTCGGCTTTCTGTCTTTGGTCTCATCTCAGAGACTGACTCCTGAGGGCATGGCTGCATAAAGCCAGTCCCATGTCCTTTCTCCAGAATCATATTTGTCATCATTGATCAGTCAGAATTGCTCCAGATTAAAGATAAAAGGTCTAAAATGTCTCACAAGCATTACATACCTCATAAATGTTGTAAAAGAACAGATCCGCTGCATCTCAGTATCTTGCAGCAAAAACAAAGCAACAACTGAAAGGAGAGAAGATGAACAATTGAGAGAGGGACAAAGGGCTGTCACAGAGGTTCAGGATATGTGAAGATGCCGAGACAGTCACTCACATTTAGCATCATGTAGTGTCACGTTGCCCTGCTGACCTCGTTTCTCTAAGGCTTTAGGTGACTTATCCTCTCTTGAAACAAACTTTTTATCTGTCAACCTGTTTTGGAAGAGAACAGTCTCTAATGGTGGTCTGAAAGGTCTCAAGTTGTATTTAATTGATCCTGAGGTACACGAGGCTTTTACTATAAAGGAAGGAGAGCCTGAGTGTCAAAACCCCAAAATGGGTTTTGTTTAATGGAGGAGAATTCTGGAATGCATTTTATTAAACATTACATTTACCAGGAGAGGGGTAGAAGAAATGCACACTACCTGATATAAAATGTAAATACCAATTCCATCCAAAACAGATCATTTAAATCACCTATTACTCATCTCTTTAGACAATCTATTTATGGTGTAGCTACCATTTTCAGATTTAAAAAAAAAGTAAAAATGTTGAAAATTTGCTATGAGCCAAATTATCACAGGGATATATCTGCAGGGACTACTGTAACATCTCCCACAATGGAGAAACAGTGCATGTTCTTTCCTTAATGGGTATCTATACACCAACCGCCGATAACGGAAATGATATTTTCTTAGAATTTGTGACAACTTGAGCCATTCTGCTGAGAGGAGCTATGAGCAGCGCTTGTGACGGTTGGGAAGACGGTTATACCTGTCTGAAGCGGGACCGTCAGTTTCAGCAAAGTGTATTGCTTTGCCTTTCTTTCCTTTCTCCTTGAGTTCCACTGCAGGTGTAAAACTGTAACAGAAGGGAGAAAATTAGGAACGTAACCTTTCCCCAGGAGGAAGACTGATCCTAGCAGGAAAGTAGCTCATGGAATCTCAGGACTCACAGATGTTATGAGTGGCGTCTGAAGAGAATCTGAGCCACTGTAGATATTCGATTCACATATTTACATGTGGGACAACCATCTAGAAAAAGATGAACATTTTAGGCTTTATGTTCAGCCTCTACATATAAGCAGCCTCCAGAACACCACCATACACAAAACATTTCCATCCAAAAATGTTGTAGTAGCTTCACAAGAAAACAGAAAGCTCATGAGAAATCTGGAGAGATGGTTTTATTTATTGAACACTTGTTAACACACCAAGTGCTTTTAGGCACAATCTTACTCAATCACAGCGATTCTGTGAGGAAAATACTACTAGTGTGGCCACTTTTACACATGAAGAAACTGAATCTTAGAAAAAGATAAGTAATGTGACGAAGATCACTGAGGTCGTGTCAGAGCCAGGATCCGGGTCTGGGATCTCTCACCACAGAGCCATGCGTGTACCCACCAGGCAGTCCTGCCTCCTGAGCTGCCATCTCAGTCGTCACTGCTCTGGACTTTTTGACTATCTCACTGAAGGTTTCAGGACCCTTTATTTCACTCAGTCAAATAAACAACTCCGTTCTTAAACTCTAAGGTCACACAAACATTTACTAAGCAGTAACTGGGCTAAGAAGGGACCATGACTGAGCAACAAACACACAGATACTGAGGCCATACTCTGTCACACTTTGCTCTGACAGGAAAAGAAGATGGCGTCTGTTCAAGTCCACACACGGCCTCTTGGGAATATCAGCAAATGCTTAATAGAAAAACCAAGAAAAACATTTTGAAGACCAGCAAAATGTGGTTCCTGCCTTTACAGAGAGTACATTTTCTGGGAGAATTGGGGTGTCTACCAAATACATTGGTTTGGAAGCCCAAAATGGATTATGATTTTCATAATCTGTTTCTGTCTGAAACAATGCCAGAATGATAACACGACCCAGAAGTTTAATCTGCCCACAGTTTCATGTCTCTCAGCTAAGCTTAAGTGCAAGTGTAGTAACAGAAGCACATTCCCCCAGACTTTACTCATTCTCTAAAGATGGACATGAATCATGTCTACTCTCTTCTTCTCCTTGTCAACACAACAGTTTTGTGTATTTTAACAGTTGGTTGGTTTTGTTTTTTTTTGACACAACAGTTTTGAAACAACTTTCTTTGAAAATTTTCTGGGATTGATATTACCCACAAAGTAATCATTTTAGAGAAATACTTTCCTGTGGGCATAGTAAAGCTAATCAGTTTGCCTCTTTCTTCCCCCAGGAGTTTTTGCCAACCTCAGATTGCAGAATAGCTTAGCTCCCAAAAGCATGTACATCATGTCACCACAAGGGAATGACCTTTTGCATTTTTCTCCCCCCCCCTTTTTTTTTTAAAGATTTTATTTATTTATTTGAAAGAGAGGCAGTGAGAGAGAGCATGAGCGAGGAGAAGGTCAGAAGGAGAAGCAGACTCCCCATGGAGCTGGGATCCCGATGCGGGACTCGATCCCGGGACTCCGGGATCATGACCTAAGCCGAAAGCAGTCGTCCAACCAACTGAGCCACACAGGCGTCCCTCCTTCTTTTTTTTTTTTTTTAAAGATCATTGGCACCACGTTGATCAGTGGATGATTTCTAAGCTTTTCATTCTGATGCTCCCCTTATCGCTGGTGCCCAAGGACTGGGTATTTAGTGGGGGAGGGTATGCCGAAATATTGAGGGGGTGGGTGGGAAAAAAAAAGAAACGGATAAATACCAAATGTTGGTGGAGCCTACCACCAAAGAAAGACTGGGGATTAGATGGGGCAGAGAGGTGAAATGGTGATAAAGAGGTCTATCTTCCAAACTGTATATTTTCATTTTATTTGCATTTCTATTAATAACAAGAATATATGGATTTATTTCCTGCATCACTAAGAAAAAGTTGACAGAGTTGACAGAGACACACAGAAAGCATTATATGGTTGATACGTTATATTGACAGACCATTTGGATAGCCTTTAACAAAATAATCTCCCAAACATCTAGACTTTTTTTTTTTTTAAAGTAGGCTCCTACGCAGGGCTCAAACTCACAACCCTGAGACCAAGACCAGAGCTGAGATCAAGAGTCATATGCTTTGGGACGCCTGGGTGGCTCAGTTGGTTAAGCAGCTGCCTTCGGCTCAGGTCATGATCCCAGCGTCCTGGGATCGAGTCCCACATCGGGCTCCTTGCTCATCAGGGAGCCTGCTTCTCCCTCTGCCTCTGCCTGCCATTCTATCTGCCTGTGCTTGCTCTCTCTCCCTCTCTCTCTCTGACAAATAAATAAATAAAATCTTTAAAAAAAAAAAAAAAAAAAAGAGTCATATGCTTAAGTGACTGAGCCACCCATACGCCCCCCAGACATTTTCTAATGGCTCTCTGAAGATTCCTTTACATAGCCATTCTAAATAAGAACACAAAGTTGTTTTCACATTTCTCCTTGCATCATCAAACCCTTTTGGCCACTTACAAGCCACTGGCTATTAACTTTCCTACCCCAGGCTAAGGAAGTAACAGGACACCAGCTCTCCCAGGATTTCTCTTCTCTAGAAGACAAGATAGATACACACAATCTCAGTGACTGTCAACTGAAATTGCTCTCTCCTACCCTTTTCTCAGTCCTATCCCTATAATTCAAGGTGTCTTGCCCTATTTGCCTGAGATGATCTGAGATAAGAGAGCCTTAAAATAAGACACTAAGTGCCTGTCCTTTGCCAGTAGTCTGACATTTACTGCTAAGCTTCTAGTCCTTATTCTCTGAACTTCGGACATGACTTCTCTACTTCACACTTGTTTGAGTGGCTCTTCCCTTGAGTCAAGTTTGCCTGGTGTCAAGTTCGCCTTGGGTCTTTAGCTCGCCTGGTGAGGATTCCTCCCTGCGAGTGCTCTACTGTAGCTCTACAGGCAGACTCCACTCGCAGTGCATCTGAAATCACTAGAAAGTGTCACTAGTAATAACTGAAAGCTGTCCTTAAAATCATACCTCTGATTGGCTCCCAACTATAGTCTGAGCTAGTTCTGTGCCCTCATGGGGTCTCCGCTATCTCCCCCTCCATCTGGCAACCCATTTAGAATCTGGGCCTTTCTTGGACCACGTTTTGTTACATTCCCAGTATTACAATACAATCATGTCGTTTCCCTTTGCCCTGAAATAAATGAGGGAAAAGAATCATATTTTCCCCTAGAACCAACCCATCACTAAAATGCAGAAGGCTGGACCATTCTTGGCTTCCACACAAGTTAGAGCTCCTCAATGGTTATTAAGTCTTCTCTCAGACCATGAGGAAAGACAAGAAGAGCTCGGGACTTATGGCGGTAGTTTCCCAAACTGTATGTCCTCAGGGGAGTCAACGACCTTGGCAAAGACTCAGGAGGGCTGCTGGTTCTCTCCCAGCTGTGAGGAAGGGCTTTTCTTAAAACAAGAAAGGGGGGGCGCCTGGGTGGCTCAGTGGGTTAAGCCGCTGCCTTCGGCTCAGGTCATGATCTCAGGGTCCTGGGATCGAGTCCCGCATCGGGCTCTCTGCTCAGCGGGGAGCCTGCTTCCCTTCCTCTCTCTCTCTGCCTGCCTCTCTGCCTACTTGTGATCTCTGTCTATCAAATAAATAAATAAAATCTTTAAAAAAAACACAAAAAACAAGAAAGGGTAGGACAGCTGACACTGTGTCAGGGGGAAGCCTGCCTCATGAGCCAACCCAGAGGTGGCCTTTGAAGAAAGATATTCCCTCTTTAACAAATAAGAATTGGGCATGCGTGCTGATGGATTATCCAACACCCTCATTTACTCCTCACAAAGCATTATTATTCCATTTCATGGATAAGAAAACTGATCTTCAGCAAGGCTAAGCAACTTGACAACCTAGTCAGTGAGAGACCTGGGATTTGAACCCAGGTCTTCCTTCAAACTACCCTTCAAAGTCTCTTCCTTAATTGCCTATTAAGAAATAATGACGATCCTTTCCCACCCATTATTGTGTGTTCATTCCTGTGTGGAGGTTATGGGTATCTTGTATTCTGATACAGTTATCCCTCTCAGGCTATCATCTGCAAATGTAAGGCAAGATCCGCCTGTGACACAGGGAGCTAGGTCCTCTCTGAAGGGTAGGAGTTCCAAGGTCACTCATTCAGGAAAGATGCCAAGACCTGCAAGGTTAGGAAGAGGAAAGGGATCATCTCTGAGCTCGAGAACACCTACAAGACTGCGAACTCCCATTTGCTAGTGGGTGTAAATGACGGCCTACCCTGTGTGAAAAAGACTAAAATCCCAGACAGGTTTCCCAGGGTCTGAAATTGACAGGTTAAAAACCGAATGCCCTTGAGATCAAGCTTTTACTTTGTGAAAGCAAATTATTTGGATTCATAATACTTCAAATTTTCTCCCCCACTGCTGACTGTTCTTTCTTTCGTCTCCTTCTAAAGCTCCTTTTCCTGGACATGTTCCCTAAATGAGAGCCTTTCTCAGGGTTCCATCTGGTTCCTCTTCTCACTTTCTCTGAGTGATTTCATCTACTCCACTAACATCGGTAACTGACAACTTTATAGTGAAGGTTCAATTCTTTCTGCAGACTTATAAAATTATACATCTGCCTACTGGACACCTTCCCTTGGCCATCCTACAGACACCTCAAACTCAGTATGTCCAACACTGAATTCATTCCGCTTTAACCTGTACTCCCTACTACTTACTCCTCCCTCTCAGCAAATGGGCACCGCCACCTACCAGTGGCCAAGCTGCAAAATAGTGTCATCCCTGATTTCTCTATCACCTGTGGCCCTTGAAGCCCACTGACACTTAATCCTTAAATACATCTCGAGTTTATCTACTTCCCTCTCTTCCCGTTGCCACCTTCTCGATTTTATCTCCCATCACCCGTCAACACAATGTCTGCAACTGCTTCTTACCTGATTTCCTGCCTC